TGGCTGGGGTCGGGCCAGCCAGCCACGGTCCCCGACTCACCCGCCCCCTGCCTGGCAGTTCAAGCTGGTCATCGCCCAGGTCCTGCTGCTGGACTTCTGCCTGGCGCTGCTGGCCGACCGTGTCCTGCAGTTCTTCCTCGGGACCCCGAAGCTGAAAGTGCCTTCCTGAGACAGCGGTGCTGGAACCCACCGCGCACCCCAGTGCCGCCCTGCCGGGGAGGGAACTCGGCCCCCACACCCTGAGTAGTGGAAGACTGAGTCCTGCTAGCGGGACCAGCCCCAGGCCGGCACCTTTGGTAAATAAAGCAGCACTCGAAATTTTAAGAAGCTCTACGTCCACCTCGTCTGTGCCGCACAGGGGCATCGGGCTCAGGATCACACCCTCTGAGTGCCAGCTCTGAGGCCGGGGACGTGGGGCGTCTTGCCTCTTTTGGCTGGTGCTGTGTCAGTGGTTCCCGTCCCAACATCTCACCGTTATCAGGCACTGAATAAAAGTGTGGAGTGATGTCCCAGGCATCACGGACACCCACTGGTCGGGCTCCTGGGATCCTGATCGTGGTGCTGTCACACCCCAGCGCCAGGGCCTCACGGCCGGATGTGACCCCCAGGAGTCCTTTTCATTTGTGGTGCTAGGGTGGGAGCCCAGCTAGCGGAGCGCCTTGTCTGGAGACGGTTCTGAAGGAGTTGTCCAGGCTGATCCCAGACTTGCAGTCCCCTCGCCTCAGCCTCCTGAGTACCAGCACTACAGCCGCACACCATCACTTGTGGCATGGTGTGGCCCTTGCTCCTCAAGAAGAGCAGGGTGGTGCCACGTCTGCCTCACAAGCACAAGGTCCTGAGTTCAATGCCCAGTACCAAGTGAAAAAAAAAAAAAAGTAGCCAGGCACGGCGTCCCACACTTATAATCCCGGCACTCTGGGAGGCTGAGGCAGGAGGATGGTGAGTTTGAGTTCAAGACCAGCCTGGGCAATTTAACAACTAAGCAAGACCCTGTCTCAAAATAATTTTTAAAAAGGGCTGGGGGTGTGGCTCAATGTGAAAGCCCTGGGTTCAACCCACAGTATGGCAAAAAAATTTAAAAAGTTAGGAAGGAGAGAACAGGGGAAGGAAGCAAGCAGGATAAGAGCCCCGGCCAGCTGTGGGCTTCTTGCCTGTGGAACAGCTGAGAACTCAGCAGAGTTCTACACGAGGCTCCCGCACACCCTGGGAGGTCCACACCGGCTGCAGTCAGGGAATGTACATGCTGAATCCTGCCCGAAAATGATTCCTGGAAGTCTCAAAGCAAGGGTTTTCCGTGTCCCAGCCGGAGGAGAGGCCTCGGGCTGGGCCTGGTGGTGAACACGTTATCCTAGTACTCTGGGAGACCAAGGCAGGAGCATTCCAAGTTCAAGCCCAGCGTGGGTAATTTAGTAACTGAAGGCCCTTTCTCAAAAGAAAAAAGTATCAAAGCTGGGGAGGTAGCGCAGTGAGAAAGCCTTGGTTTCAATTCTCAGTGCCACCAAGCGGGTGGGGGCACAAGAGCCGTATCCAGCTTTGAAGATCACTGGGGCTCCCCTAGAGTTCCCGGACCTGAGATTCGCCAGCCATCGTGCAGGACTCCGCACTCCCACCAGGGGCACCATGGACCGGGCTGGGTCGGTGTGGGTTCCAGGACCCGGCAGAGGTCAGGGCGAGGAGGGCACCAGGTCGCGGCGGGTTCCAGGCAGAGA